GTTAAAAAAAACTCTAAAAAAAAACTCTTAAAAAAAAGGGGTAAAGGGTAGTCAATGTTCTACTTTCATGACTTTCTCAGATATGCCATTTGTACTGTCACTTTCTTAAATAGAAGTGTTGAAGTTGTTTTGCTCTTCCTTACTACTCAGGTTTATCACCATGACCATTAATTGTTTGCCCAGAGCATAAATTCAGTTAGCTTATCTATTTTATTGTCTGCCTTCAGGCTGTCGGCTCCACAATCTAGGTGCCGACACATATGGCTTGTCTCCTTACAATGTAGCAGGAGCTGAAAAACTATGGGAAATATGAAAAATCATTATAGTTTACACTTTATGATTATCAATTCAAATCCCTTCATGAAGCACATCTGAAATCTAAGGCTCAAGAATAATGCTTGTCCAAGGTCACACGATAGACTGTAGTAGATACAACTAGATTTGTATCTCACAATTTGCAGCTCATACAGAAAAAAACTGGTTTAGTCAAAATTACCATTAGAAATTCCTTAAGAGAATCTTTAAGCCTGGCCTGGTATCTGAGACAAAATGGATGGAACTCAAGTTGATCATGCCAAGTGAAATCAATCAAAAAGAAAAGATTTGAATAGTTTCATTCATCTGTGGAACTTAAGTACCCTCGAAACAATTGTACACAAACAATAAAAGGAATAAAATTTGAACTGTGCGAAAAGAAGTGATGGTTACCAGAGAAATAGGAGTAAGGGTGGAGTTGCTGGGGGAGTTAGATAAATGGGGTATGGGCTGGTGGAAGAGGGAAAAATACAGAAAAAGAAAGAAGTAGCAACATGCAAAAGAAAAAAATTAACCCTAATAAAATAATAACTACAAATAGAAAAGAAAAAATAAAAAGCAAAGATTAGAGGGTTAGCTTTTAAAACTGAGATATTTGCTAAATACAACAATAGTATAATTCTGGAGGCACCAGGTATAGGGGTATAGGGTTCCCCTTCTCTCTCCAAAGCATTTGTTCACTACAATCATACTACCAGCTTATTAGACAGTGAACTCTGAAGATGACTCGAAAACAAACAAAAAAAATGTTTGCTAACAACCTCTTCAGTAGAGATCATTGGCTTACTTCCCATTCCTCCTCTGTTCCATACGTGATTAAAGCTTGCTGCATAAGGGAGGTATTAGTAAATGAGAAAGCTTTTGAGTTACATTCATTTTGACTAGCATCTCTGGTAACTGCTTTTTCTCAAAAACATATGGTAAAGAAGGTGCAATGTTCCAATGACTGTGATTTCAAATCTAAAATACCATTTGTTCATTCCTGAAACCTGAACAAACATCTGGTGGTTAATGTCTTGTGTACCTTCATGCAGTACCTCTATCTATGACTCCAGATCATGGGCAAAAGTAAGTAGATGAGACTAAGTCACAAAAGCTTATTGGTCCACTGAATCTAAAAAAAAAGGGGGGAGTAGGGGAAGGAAGTGAACTAGGCTTCTGTGTCTCCTCCAAAGTAGGAAAATCAATAGAAGCTGTATGGGCTTAAGGACCTCATGCCTTCTGTCTCGCCTCACACAGCTATCAGCTATATCCAGTATATATCCTCCTATTAGAAGAAAATAGAATCCTTCCTTTCTCCAGTCCGTGGGTGCCTAAAATTAGTTCCAGTTTGTGCATACTGCCAGGTTCATGTTACCTTACACTTTTGTTAAGATTATATTTCCTATATTAAAACTTTGCCCATTTTTCAATTTATTTTTCTTTCAAGGTTTTTTTTTTTTTTCCTAACTCACACTTTCGATTACAAGATGACTCTTAGACTAGAATTGAAATAAAGTTGAATTGTATGTTTTGCAATATTACTCATCTTAGGGGGGAAAATTGGTTGTTTAGAGGAGTAGTGTATTAATCTAGTAGGCTGCCATAAAATACCACAGACTGGGTGGTTCAAATGTAAGATTTCCTTTTCATGCTTTTGGGTGCTGGAAGACCAAATCAAGGTATCAGCGGATTTGGCTTCTCCTTGCCCTCTCTTTTTTGCTTGCAAGTGAGCATCTTTCTCCAACCTCAAATAAGGACCATCCTTACAACCTCATTAGACTATCTCCCTAGTGGGCCCTTCCTGGTGATGCATCTGGTTAAAGCATAGCCACTATGAAGCTGTCGCAGCCACTGTAGCACGAGTTCGATCCCTGGCCAGGGAAGTGACCCATGTGGCATGGTAGATCTCTCCTCACCCACCTGCTGCTCCTCTCAACAGTGTATTTCAGTGGATCTGCCTGTATACAGTTGATAGCTGAGTGCAGATGAGACAGTCCTTTAGCCCACACAGCTTCTACTGATTTTCCCACTCTGTCTCTGTCATATCCTCACACGCCCCACACACACAACTCTGGCTTGCACCCCAGTTCTATATGCATAAGTAAATAAAGTAAATAAACTATCACACTAGCTCCAGATAGTCACATTGGAGGGTAAGGCTTCGATGTATGAATTTGGGGGGAACAACGTTGTTCATAAAAGTTGGCATGCTAACATTTAAACATTCTGTACTATCCTTCCCTGAGAGAAAAGACAATCCTATAAAAGAAAGTGGCAAAGTTATTATCATTTACATGTGCTATCATGTTATAAGAAATATAAATTTACATGTGAATCCTTTTTGTGAGATAGAATTCAATTGAATGCTCATAAAATAACCCTTAACTACATGTTTTAGCCTAATAGAACTCATGGAGATTTCACAAAAGAACCCCTCAGTACTCCAGCAATTCAGTCTCACATTGTGTTAGCCAGAAGAGACAAGGAACGAGCCAGAGTCAGAAATGCCAAATGAGACTGCTGCTCTCACATCTGTTCTGAGGTCGGAGTTGGTCTCATTCTGTGGAAGTGTGGTTTTCATGTGTGAAACAAGTGCAAGTGCTTTAAGGACTTTAGTGCACTGAACCACAAGTCTGAAATGCTGTATCATAAAACAGGGCTATTGCGGAGTGGGCACACTTGTTCAAGGAGAGTTCCTGTGTCCTCCTGAAGGACAGGTCACGCTAGTTTTTCAGAATGGGACTTTATGTTCTGTTGGATCATGTGCAATGTTCCCATTTCTGAATTTTTTTCACCAGTTTGGATTAGGGGAGGCACCTTGCAAATAAAAATATAGGACACCTAGTTCAGATCGAACTGCAGATAAATGATGAATATTTTTACTGTAACTGTGTCTCTCATGCAATATTTGGGGCCTCCTAACACACACGTGTGTGTGTATCCACATGTGTGTGTGTTCATATGAGGCATACTTACGCTAAGAGAAAATAGGTCGAATTTCCCTAAAATTCAAATTTAGCCATGGATTCATTGTTGTCTTTTTTAATCTAACAATTCTGCTGGAATTCTACAAAGAATCCTCCCTTTCAGTTTTCTCCCCACCACCCCCCTCCTAAACTACTACCACCAACTTTATAAATTCAATTTTCAGCTCATATTTTTATGTGTCTTTTAACCTCTGCCCCAAAGTATGAAACTCCAGGCTTCAGGCTACATTCCATTATATTGCTCTGATACCTGCTTCTGGATATGCAGTGTTAAAACACAAAGTTAGCTTTGCCTTACCATTCACCCATGCTGAGATATTCCTATCTTTATATCAGTACTCTATAATACTACCATGATAGCTCTAATGGACATTATGTGCCTAATAAATGTGGGGAGGCAGGACTAAACTTGTAAGTCTGTAAATCCTATAACCTTGGGCTCAGTTTGCTCACCTCTAAATCAGGGTATTGAATTAAAGAGCTATTCCACAAGGTTCCACCTAACAATTCCATGCTACCCGTCTGTAATACCCTCATTTGTTGGTGAAACCTCACTGTTCCTATTCGATGAGTCTTTTTTCCCTTCAGGTAGGCAGAGTTTAGATTACTAACAAAATGCTATTTAGATTACCCAATTAATGGCTTCATCTTTAAAGCAAAATACCAAATAAGCCAAAGTGTGTGTACCTCATATTCCTTCCACCCCCACTTGCTCTGACACCAGACTGTGCACTCAGCGGGTGAGCAGGTCATGTGATCATTAAAGTATCTTTGATGATGAACTGAGGAAAATCACGTAGGATTCCAAGCCATCTCCTCCCACCCTGAGAGCTGGCTGCCTGCGGCTCCTTGTTCTTTTCCGCCATCTAGTGGCACAGAGTTGCTCTTCCTCTTAGTACTGTGAAGACTTCAAAGATTATAAATCAAATGGATGAATTATTTTATTCTTGTCATTACAGTAAGCAGGGATTTATAGTGTGTGTCATGGAAGAAATATAATAAATGTTGATAAAAAATAAGCATAGCACAATATCAGACTTGAATATCTGAACATTATAGATTAGATTAAATTCATGCAATTTAATCTCTTTAATATGTTCAAATGTTAACTTGCATGCTGAAGAGCAAAAAAATATAAACTAGCCTAAAGTGTTCTAAAAAAGGATTATCCTTCTCAGGTACTCTTGTATAGCGGTAAAGAGATTTTTAAGCTAAAATAAACGAAATCATAACAAATGAAAAAAGAAAGAAAATTAAATCCTGATAAACTTGGAATCTGTAGAGAATGTCTCCATTCTGTATTTAACCATTCGTCTTCAATGATTAGAACTTACTACATCTTATTTATACATGCAATACAATGTTTAATGAATGTTGAATTACATCCAATTTTAATGTCTTAGAACATTAATTAATCTGAAACTTCCTTCACATGGCATGATAGTGAGCTTAATTGTGTAACTAAGATGAAAATAAATTTCCCTAATGAATGAATTAAAATATTTCTGAAATGTGACTTACTTCCTATTAGAGCTATTTTCACTGAATAACTATTATAGGAAAAAAATTTGACATTTTAACAGTATTTAATTTTTATTTAAAATGCCAGTGTTGACATGTGGTATTTAGATTTATCTAGCAAAAGATATTTAATTGGAATACCACTTGTTTTACTACATTTGTTAGCCACCTGAGAAATCTCTCATTTTTTTCCAGGGTGGGAAAATCCCTATAAGGTGGACAGCCCCGGAAGCTATTGCCTACAGAAAATTCTCCTCAGCCAGCGATGCATGGAGTTACGGCATTGTCATGTGGGAGGTCATGTCCTATGGAGAGAGGCCATACTGGGAAATGTCTAACCAAGATGTAAGTGCCACTTCTAAGTGTAAAAACATTAGAATTGAGGGGTAAATAAGCCTTTTGATTTCACTCATGTGAACCCTTCTCAAGTCTGAAACTGGGCTTGAAAAGCTGAGTGGCCTTTCACACGGAACTATATTTAGTGCCCTGGAGACAGTGATGGGTTTCACCACATGAGTCCCTGATCTACCTGTCAAATCTGACACATTGTCCTAAGGAAGTGTGAGTATGCTCATGCAATAACTTTGACCCACAGAAAGCAAAAAGTAATGTCTACCTTTCATTTCTCACTTAATGTACCACTGTGGAGAACAAATTAATTTAGGCTAGATGCCACTCACATGTATAATAGTAAATGCTTTCAGGCAACGTATCGTCAATATATATCATTTGGTGTGCTTCTTTTGAGATAAATAATGCTCTCTGTAATGCTTTATTTCTATTTTACCTATAAAAATTACTGTGGTGGTTAGAAATATATAACAGGAGAGTTAACACACATTTAAATTTATGACCTATACAAGAGAAAGAGATCATAGTACAAGTCAGTAACCCAAGCTAAAAATACATTTGAATCTCCCATTTCACCTCAGAATTCAACTTCATCTACTCACAGCATGTAATGGTTTCTGAGACAATGATAATTGGAAATAATTTGCTTCTAAAATGTTTATGGGTGAAAATATCTATATATGAAAATCCCTGAGCACACTTGGAGAACTATTATTGTCACTTTTCTTTTCCTTTTCTCAGTTATTTGCTTGAGATACCTCTCCACACCTCATGCTTCTTTATTCTACCCCAACTTCAAAGTGTCCAAATAGCTTAAAGATTCACTCATTTGCAAAGAAAGTTAATCCTTTCTAATGCCAGCCATAGAGGAGGCTGAGTTTTGGTCAGTTTTAACAGCGATTGTTTCTCTCTGCCATACATTGCTTTCAAATCTTAGTCCTAGTCAGACCTGTGTGTGGCTACTGTCTCTTTAGAATACTAGGACCAGGCACCCATGCAGCAACAGGCGGAAGGTCATACATATTCCTCAACCATTGCTTTCTAAAGTGTAGCATCAAAACACCAGTAAGTGTGCGTAGGCTCTGCTGAGCATCTGGTCTGAAGTACAAAGTATCCAATAACCAGCAACCTCTGCTCCACACGCCATACCTGGACTTTTTGATCCAAGGTATTAGCCCACAATCAGCCATTGTGATTTTATTTGAATCACCTCATTGCTCTTCTTTACCACTGGACTTTGTTTGGGACAATGTATGACCATCACTCCGCTCTTCTTAAAATTGAAACTCAGAAGCAGAAATTTGGACATTCACTTTCAGATGGAACTCATTTTTTTTAAACAATTATCTAAGGTAATAGAGTCCTTGTTCCTTCAGCACAGTTCCTTCTCTACCCTAAGCCCAGACTTGTCTACTTGTTCTACTTGGAAATGACAAAAACAGGCCATTAAAGCAAATCTCCAAGATAAAAAAAAAATCCTTCCTCTTAGTGAATTATAGACTTTACAGAAGAGGTTACACTAGAAGCACCCTCCTTAATTGATTCTCTATTTGTCCTTGTTTGAACCAGTTCCCTAACAGACAAAACTTAAAAATTGTCTGACTTAAATGATTCAAAATCTATACCCTTGCCATTAAAAAGGTCGTAAGTATTCACAGATTGCATACTTACATAACTTGTACATTTTATATAAGTACTACTGTATTCATATTCATGTATTTATTTTAAAATATCTGTTAGGTGACTTCTCTGTTCCAGGAACTAGAGATATAGTTAGAAAAGAATTGTCACCCCTGGAAGGGGCCATAAAGATTATGTAGACCAACTTGACTATGAAACTGGGACTTACAAAAGTGACATGGTTTCCTAGAATCCCTTAGTAAGTGATCACATAGTGAACTTTGGAGAGAACTGGAATAACCTTCTAAAGTAAGTAATGGGAAAGAAGAAAAGGCAGCAACTACCTCTTTCCTAGTGACTTGGTTATAGCACCTGTAGTTCCCCACTGAAGAAAGCACAAGTGATTTCTTGCCCTCATGGAGCATACATTTTAGTGGAATTATAACAGTCTCTAAAAAGAGTACATAAGAGAAAAATAGGGTATGTGGCATGATAATCATTTCTTTGGGGGGGAATCAAGAAAAAAGGATAATGCTGTATTTTTCATTTAAGTATGAGATATGTTGTTAGAAACATCAATAAAGTCATTCCCTTATGGTTATAAAAGTCATAAATAGCAACCCTTCCAGACATTCATGTATAGCCACTCATTTTTCATAAATAATCTCTTTTAATAGGATGAGGCAAATAAACATATAGATAAAGATCATCATTTTTCCTGTTCCCTGGATTGTTGTCTTCCTGCCAGGAGTATAGTGTGCCACCATTTTAGAAGCCATGCAGTTGTTATGTAGACTACAGCCATCACAGTCACCTAACTTTTTAAAGCTTCTCAGTTTCATGACCAATACACATAGTAAAAGGATCTGCTTTGATGATTTCTAATGTACCTTTAATGGTAACAAGCTATGACTTTATAATAATCATCACATGTGTTTCACCAAAGGAAATATTCAAATAGCTCTATTATGAAATATTCAGGGTTTTTTTTTCTTTATGAAATTACTGAATCTTTGTGTAGGTCCCAAAAGTTAGATAAGATTTCCACCAAGCAGTTACAAGTGAAGATAACCAGTGCACAAAACAGAATTTTTAGATGAGTAGCCTCTGAGGGTAAAAAAACCAAATATGTAATTTCCAACATGGACCATCATGTAAATTGTTCTTAGTTGTTGCCTTGAGTCACCCAAACCCTGTTGTCAACGCCTCCCTTCCTGGCTTTGCACAACAATGGTTCTAACATTGCTTTATGGTTCTAAATCTAGTCAGTCTGGCCATGGGTACTGGCGATAAGTGTCCAGGATGACCATTAGAGAGAGTCTGTCTATTACACCTCATTTGGCCACAGAGACTATATCTGGAACTAGGAGAAGCTGCTGCAGCCAGCAATAGATTCCCAACATTAAGCCAATTCTCATCTGTTCAGGATTGCCAGTGCCCAAACCCAGGGTTACCACTCCTACCCCGAGCATCCTTGATTTCTGAGTACCAGCTTAACTGGTCTATTTTTCTCATGGTCTCTGCATAATTACCAAAGAATATTCAAACAAGAACCTGAAAAAAGAAGCACAGGAGAAAGGAAGCCAAACCCTTAGAGGTCCTAAGATCAATACAAAGCCAGAGGAAAGTATGAAGAGCTGTTTTTTAATGTATTTTACAAGTATATTTTTGCTGCTATAGTGAAGCATTGAAATCGGTTTAGTTCAACATAATGGAACTCAGCATATCTGTGGCAGGTCCTGTAACCAGAATTTTTGTTTGGAAGCAGAAATAGCTTCATCAAGTTTCCCAGCTGCTCTACCCACATACTTATTATTCCTATTTGTCCTGAATCTCTCATTAGTTTGGTTAAGTGTAGTCTCATGTTTTACTTTTTACAACAAAGGTACATTTTAAGTAAGCAAACTAATGTTTGAGATCATAAAAATTAAACTTTGCTTTGTTAGAATATTTTTTACTACATGTTGGTGAGTTTAAGCTACGGGCTTAGTTAAATATAGAATGCTAACATTGCTTTATAGTTCTAAATGAGTTTAGGAAATTTCAGATCGTTTTTATGAATTACTCCCTCTATTCTGCAGACTGTGGCATATTTTATCACGATGAACAATTCTGAGTTTGCAGAATCTTGTCTAGTGAATAATATAATGAGTTTCCCAAAGGTCAGTAGTATTGTACATAAGGGAAAAGAAATGAGAAAAAAATAGTGCGGAGGACTAACCCATAAAAGGCCTAACAAAAGTGACAACAGGCATCATCTGCCTACTAGCCATCACTGGAATAGGTGTGCATGTAGAGTGGGGATAGAGAATTAAACACCCTAAAAATCCAGTCCTCATTCCTGAAGAGACTACTGTTTAGGTGAAATGGCATTCTGACAGTTAAGTCCCTTAAGCAGAGTATGCTCCTCAGGGTGGAGAGACTTTGTGCCTTCTAGTTCTCTTCAATATGAACAACATTGTATGAGTGCAAAATAGTTATTTTTTTTAATATGGATCCAAAAAGTATGCCTAATATATTAGTCAGCGTTCTTTTGATTGAACATGACAGAGCTCAACTCAGACTAACTGAAGTAAAAATAAATTGTTTCATTCATGAATCTAAAAAATATTGGCAGTGTTAAATCCAGGAGATCATGCAGGATTTTACTGCTTTCCTAGGTCTTCTCCAACTGCAAAGGTCTTCTTTGCTGCATTCATTACAGCTTTCTAGTGCAACAACCTCTTTCTGTAAAAATCATATACCAATCCAAGAAAAGACTGGTTGGTTTTTTAAGGGCCCTAACCAACCCTGAGCCAACTCCATGCCAGGGAAATGGATATTCTGATTGGTCCATGAAGGGTTATGTGCCAGCATATGAAGTCAGAGGTGGGGAGAGCGTGTGACTGGTACATAATTACAGAAATGATAGAGAAAGTCCCCTAAGAAAAGCAGTTGTGCTGCCAGAAATATACCATCTTTTCCTTTTGTGGTATATGTCATTTGCAAGAGCAATTTTATTTATTGCAGTATCAAATGGCACCAAAATATTAACATTGTGCATCACCATGTTGTATTGAAAAGACCATGAGAGCTTTACAGCAGGGTGTCTCAGAACTATTGGGGTGTTGCATCAAGTAAGTCTGTTGGGGCAACTGTCCTGTATTTTAGGGTGTTTGGCAGCTTCCTTGCCTCTACTCAATAGATGCCAGTAGCAAAACCCTCCGCTATGACAAGCAAAAATACCCATAGCTTTAGAGCTAGAAAGGTCTGGGACTAAATCCCATCACTTCAATTCACTGGCTATGCAATTTTAGACAAATAGTTGAAGCTTTTTGAGAAACTATAACAGGGTTGAATATTGTCAAGTATACATGTAAAACACCTGCTACATA